CTGTTTATATCCTCTGCTATTTCCTTCCTCAGTGATTCATAGTTCTCCTTGTAGAGGTCTTTTACCTCCTTAGTTAACTATATTCCTAGGCATTTTATTTTCTTTGTTCCTACTGTGAAGGGTATTAAGTCTTTGGTTTGGTTCTCAGTTTGTTGTTGGAATATAGGAATGTTACTGATTTCTGTACATTGATTTTGTAACCTGAGACTTTCCTCAATTTGTTTATCAATTCCAGTAGTCTCATGTCTCTGGGGTTTTCTAGTTATAAGATCATATCATGAGCAAAGAGTGATTGTTTGACCTCTTCTGGCCCCATTTGGATGCCATTGACTTCCTTCTCTTGTCTGATTTCTCTGGCTAGGACTTCCAGCATTGTGTTGAGTAGAAGTGGTGATAGAGAGCAGCCTTGTCTGGTTCCAGTTCTAAGCAGGAATGCTTTCAATATTTCCCCTTCAGTATGATGTTGGTTGTGGGTTTTTCATATATAACTTTTATCATTTTTACATAATTTCCATTCTGTGCTTATTTTGTTAAGATTCTTATCATTAAAGGGTGCTGAATTTTGTCGAATGCTTTTTATGCATCTATTGAGAGGATCATATGGCCTTTGTTTTTGCTTCCCCTTATGTGATGAATTACATGTATAGATTTGGGTATGTTGAACTGTCCCTGCATCTCTGGGATGAAGCCCCCTTGGTCATGATGGATTATTTTTTTTTTTATAAGAACCTGAATTCGGTTTGCTAGGATTTTGTTGAGAACTTTTGCATCTATATTCATAGGGGATGTTGGTCTGTAGTTTTCTTTATTTGTTGTGTCCTTTCTGGGTTTTGATATCAGGGTATTACTGGCTTCATAAAACCTATTGGGGAGGATTCCTTCCTTCTTGATGTTCTGGAATAATTTCTGCAGGATAGGCAACAGTTCTTCTGTGTAGGTCTGATAAAATTTGGGTGTGAAATCATCTGGTCCGAGACTTTTATTTTTAGGAAGGTTTTTATTGTTGCTTCTAATCTGATGCTTGATATTGGTCTGTTCAGGAATTCTATTTCTTCCTGATTGAGCCTAGGGAGGCTGTGTGTTTCTAAGAACTTTTCCACTTCTTCCACATTTTCAAGCTTATGTGCACAGAAGTTTTTATAGTATTCATAAATGATGTTTTATATTTCTGTGATATCAGTTGTAATTTCTCCATTTTTATTCCCGAATGGGCTTATTAGAGTCCTTTATTTTCTGCTTCTCATTAATCTAGCAAGAGATATGTCAATTTAGTCTATTTTTTTCAAAGAACTTTTTGTTTTATTAATCTTCCATATAGTGTTTTTCTTATCAATTTCATTTAGTTCTTCCCTGATCTTTGTTATTTCTTTTCTTCTGCTGGATTTGGGGTTAGTATACTCATTCTTTTCCAGTTCTTTGAGATGATTTTTGGATTGTTGTTTTGTGATTTTTCTGTCTTTTGGATGTAGGCATTTATGTATATAAATTTTCCCCTCAGGACTGCTTTAGCTGTGTCCCACAGATTTCAATAACTTGTGTCTCCTTTTTCATTTAGTTCAAAGAATCTTTTGATTTCCATCTTAATTTCCTCTTTAACCCAATAATCATTCAGCAGAAGGTTGTTTAGTTTCCGTGTCTTACAAAAGCTAAAGGTTAAAGGCCAGATACTACAATGGTTCTAGACAGAAAATAAAAAGACAAAGTTCATCTCAACAGGATGAACAGAAATCTGCCCAACTTATCTATTCTTTCAATGAATGTGAATGGCTTGAACTGCCTACTAAAGAGACAAAGGCTAGCCGAATGGATAAATATCCATAATCCAAGTATCTGCTGTCTTCAGGAAACACATCTAACCCACAAGGATGCATTCAGACTTGAAGTGAAGGGAGGGAAAACCATATTCCATCTAAATGGAAGCCAAAGGAAAGCTGGTGTAGGAATTCTGATTTCAGATAACTTAGTCATCAAATCAGCAAAAGTAATGAAAGACAAAGATGGTCACTGTATAACGGTGAAGGATACATTTTAACAAAAAGACATAACAATTCTAAATATATTTGCACCTAACTCATATGCACTCAGATTCACAATGCAAATCCTATTTGATCAAATTAAAATGATAAACAGTAGCACTTTAATAGCCAGTGACTTCCACACCCCTCTGGTGAAATAGAAGAGATCCTCCAAACAGAAAATAAACAAAGAAACAACAGCCTTAAGCAGAACTCTAGAACAAATGGGTCTGAATGACATTTACAGAGCATTCTACCCCAAAACCACTGAATATATATTTATCTCATCAGCTCATGGGACATTCTCTAAGATTAACCATATAATTACTTCATTTCTATTTTCTTGCTTTCTTCTGGGTTATGTGAACACTCTTTAGATTGCACTTTGATTTATTTATAGTGTTTTCACACTATAAATAGTATATTTACTATTAGTATATAGTAGTAGTATAGTAGTATAGTATATAGTAGTAGTATAGTAGTATATATAATAGTATATATAGTAGTATATAATATATAGTAGTAGTATATATAGTAGTATAGTAGTAATATAGTAGTATAGTAGTAGTATAGTAGTATATATAGTAGTATAGTAGTATATATAGTAGTATATAGTATATAGTAGTAGTATATATAGTAGTAGTATAGTAGTATATATAGTAGTATAAGATGTGATAGTATATCACATCTTATATTTTAATCAGCACTTGCTTTAGGTATTATAATATGCTTACATAATTAATCATTTCTACTGGTACTGATCTTTTACAACTTTGAGGCAAGTGTAGAGACCAGACTTCCATTTAGGTCCTACCCATTGCCTTCTCAACCTTTAAAGCGTAGTTGTTAAATATTTCTTCTGGATACATATTTAGCACCACATCAAATAGTGTTATGTATTTTGCTTTAACCATCAAATAAGATGTACTCATCAAACTCATCAAAAGGCAAGTCTATTATACTTACCCCTATTTTTATTTATTGCAGTGTTTTTCTTTGCTTTCTGAAGCTATGAACACTCTGGCATCATTTCTTCCCTGTGTGGAGAACTTCCTTTATCCCACCTTAAAGCGACAGGTTGCTCACACCAGATGCTCTTAGTTTTCTTTTATTAGAGAATTTCTTTATTCATGAAGGATATTTTCACTGGTTATTAAATTCATGGTTTACTTTTTTTAGCATTAAAAAATGTTTTGCTAATTCCTCTGACCTCCATTGTCTTAGATGAGAAATCTGCTGTCATTCATGTTCATGCCCTCTGTTAGGTAGGAAATCATATCTCTGGCTGCTTTCAACAGTGTTTTTCTTTGGTTTTAGCTTTCAGACATGTAACTATGATGTGCATTGGCATGGATTTCATGGGCTTTTCCTATTTGGGGTTTGCTCAGCTTTTTGAAAATGTAGATTTTTGTCTCTCATCTTTCACACTTGGGAAATTTGCATCCGTTTTTCTTTGAATATTCTTTCAGCCCCATTCTCTTTCTCCTCTCCTTCTGAAACACCAATAATATGCAAGTTGGGCCTTTTTCTACTTTCTTTCTGGTTTTAGAGACTCTCTATTGTTTCCCTACTTATTTTCTCTCCTTTGTTCAGATGGGGCAAACTCTATTGATCTGCCATTAATTTCACTGATTCTGTCGTGTCACCCCCACCCTGCTATTGAGTCCATCCAGAGTGTTTTTAATTTTGGTTGTTGTATTTTTCAGTTTTCTAATTTCCACTTATAATTCTCTTTCTTTGCTCCTATGATTTCTATTTCTATTTTTCATTTGTTTCAAAAGTATCTGAAACTTCATGCTGAAGCATGTTGATGATGGCTACCTTAAAATTCTTGTCAGATGATCCCAACATCTGATTCACCTCAGTGTTGGCATCTGTTGATCATCTTTTCTTGCTCAGCTTGTGATTTTGTTGTTGTTGTTCTTTGACAGGTGAATTCTGGTTGTATCCTGGATATTTTGTGTGTTATATTAGGAGTCACTGGGTCCTATTTAAATCCTTCATTTTTATCAAGCAGTCACCTGTTTAGGCCTAGCATGCAGGTCCTGGGCAATTCTGTGGCCTGTAGCTCCAATGACAATCTAAATTCAAAGTCTTTATGGCATTATTTTGATTGGCTTGGTTGGTCTGGTGCCACTGGTGGCCCATGGATCCCTGGTGGTGCTCGCTGAGGGAGCAGAAGGAGCTCCCAGGGGCGCCTGTGTGGTAGTGGAAGTCTCAAGCCCTCAGGCTGGCCACGTGGGGAGGTGGCCGTGGAATGCCAGTGACTGGTCTCACCTGCCTCGCTCCAGCTCATGAAGTCACCTTGGTGCTGGCTGGGGATAGAGACCCAGCTGGCTGCCACCCGCAACACTACTCTTGTGGGGAGTGGAAGGTTAGCTCCTTGCTTAGTGCTGCTGACACCACCACAGCTGGGGCACCAGAGTGCAATGCGCCAGAAGAGGATGTGGAAGTTCAAATCTCCTTGCAGCCAGCTGAGAAGGCACAGGGGAGGGGAAGAGCAAGGGGGGTGTGGTTTTGCACTTGGGGTGGGGATGGAGTAGGGGAGACATTACCAAGAAGATTTCTGTTGTTAGGCAACTATTCCTTCAGGTGTTTGGCCAGGAGGAACAGGCTTTCTTGTAATTCATTTTGTCTGTGCCATCAACTGTTCTGGGTTAGAGGCTTCTATAGCACCCTAACTACGGTGGATGAGAGACAGAAAGGACACCTGGTGGCTCACTGCCATGTGGTTCCTCTGGTCCTCAGGGCGCTAGGCTCTCTTCCATCTTCTCGCTTTGCAGGGGCTTCATATGCTTGTTTTTGTATTATGTTCAAGGTTTTTTGGTTGCAATGGGGGGACCTTGTAGGAACTGGATGACTCTACCTTGGAAGAACCAGAAGTCACCTGTGGGCCTGGCTTTGTGAACCTTGGGAAGTGGCTATTCTGACATACTATTGTGACATCATTCAATCGGGTAAGCCATGCAATAGTTCTCAATTCTGGAAGGTTTCGCAAGTGTGTCAAGCCTACTGTCAAGTGGGAGTGTGGCATGGGGAAGCCATTGGTTCTACTGTCTGTGTGTGAATAAAGGACACGCTTCCACCGTGCGCAGTGCCAGTCGAAGGTGAGATTTTATAAGACAAGGTAAAGAGATCCCCGACCATAGGATGAAAAGTTCATGCAAACCAAGATTGTAATAGTTTTATAGACAAGCTGGTAAAATTTTAGTTAGGATGAAGATACAAAGGAAATGGGGACTTTCAGCTTGCACATTACTAATGATTGAAGAGGATAAAGTTTTGTTAAATAAAAGTAAAAATTCAAATTCTGTACTTTGGTATTAAGTCTGTCAAATTGGATACAACAACTCCAAGCCAGTTTGAACTTAGCAAGGACAGGAGAGACATTTACATATGGCCCATCTTATAACTGCATATTGCAGTGCTTTGACATAACTGGAAGAAGGGTAAAATTCCTGAATGCATCAAACTTAACACCTTAGTCTGGCTCCTGCCTGCCCGGACGGTCACGGATCAAGGGGCCTCTTCAGGGTGAGCACTGCTCAACCCTCGGGAATCCCTCAGCGAGGGACTGGCTGGTGGCAACACACACATTTCCCCCTCAGCAGGAGAGCCGAGGTTGGGGAAAGAGGACACTGGTGTGACGGCAGAGGCTGCGCAACGGGTGCACGCCGCGGGCGATGCAGAGTCGGAAATCACTGGCTCAGGCTCAGGCTCCAGCCCTAGGAGTATGAGGATGGAGAAGAGGAGCCAGGAGGCTGTCAGAGGGTAAAAGAGGACTTGTAGTGACAGAGCACAGCAAGTGGCTGGTGGCGGAGGGGCGGGGACATGCTGAGGCGTCTGTGCTGTGCCTCTGCGGTGGCGCCTTCTGCTCAGGTCCTCAGTGCTGCTCTTCGTTGCCTCGTGCTGGACGTAGCACAGTCTGAGACATGAGGGAGCTCTGATCCCACCTGCTGCTCTTAAAGCGAGGGAGGTGAGGCGTGGCCAGCCTGGACGTGGTCATTTAAGTCAAACTCAAGCTTTTATAACAAATCCTTAGGTGTAACTCTACCTCTACATGAAGTTGGATTGTCCATATTGTGTTTATATACGTGTGTGTGTGTGAGAGAGAGGAGGTCAACCTTACTATATTCACTTTTGCTATAACCAGAAGTCTACTAAACTTGACAACACCATCTAGTCAGGTAGCCAAGAATATATTTGTAATATTATCAACATAGCTTTAATCTATTTAATGTCAATTGGACTTTAGCAGCTTAACATAAAAGTATCCCCTCCTTGAAAAGTTCTTCCCTGAAAATTCCGTGCAGGTCAATGTCACATGCTGTCCTCCATCACCACCCCTTATTCAGTTCTAGCACTTACCACCATCTGAAAATACATATTTTTTTTTTACTTTGGTCTTTATATTGCTAGGGTCTGGCTTCCACAACTAGGATGTAAGTTCCACGAGTGTAGCAATATTATTTATCTTTTAACTGCTACATCACTGTGCTTCAACCAATGCCCAATGGCTGGAGACTTCCATGATAACTGGTGACTCAATGTAAGCATTAGTACCCCGTTCAGTAGGCTGAGATATTGAGAGTCTCAGAGGTGTGGACATTCTGATGGCATTGGTCATCTTTAGAAGCAATCATGCAAGAGCCAAGGGTGAGGCAAGCGGAAGGGCATCGCAGACAAATGTGCTTTCCATGGGCTGGATTGCTCACCTCTAAGCTGGGGAATGAGCATCTGCATATGTGTATGAAATGTGAAATATTGCACCCTTCTCCTCATGGCCACTTCCAGATTATTGTCCCTGCTACATTCTCAAAGCCTCAAAATTGAACTTTGCAATAAAATTATTCTGTTTCCTATCCAATCCTGATTTCAATAATCTACAGGCCCTCTAGTCATACAGCCACAGTTCTTGCAGATTCTACCCCTGCTTCCTGCTGTTCCTTCTAGCATGCGGCAGTCAGCAGCAGCACCGGCAGTTTCAGAGTCCGCATAGATGATGCCCACACAGGCTGGCTTCTCAGTTCCTCCAGGTCCGGCTCCACTCTGCATCCTCACGGGCACCGGCTGTGGGTCCAGGTCTTGGCAATCTCCATTACCCCAGTGTCAACTGTCAGGTTAGTCTTTCTATCACAGGTGCTCTAGGAATAACCATTCTGACCATTCTTTGGTCCCCTAGGATCTAAAATCCGTGGACTCTATGACTTTTCGCTTTAACCCACCTGCCCAGTGGCCTCGCCTCCCTCCATAACTGGCCGAATTCTGCACTTCATCGTCATGATTACAATTCCCCTTCTTATCCCATGTCAGCACCCTGGGTTGCCCCCTGAGCCTGGTCGTGTCCAGCTCTGCGTGACCCATGCCCGCCCCAGAACAGCAGAGAGTGGCAGCAGAAAAACACACGATCACATACCTGAGTGCCTGAAAATCGTGTTTCATTTCTCTAGATGGATATTTCACACATTTTCCTCCTTTTCCCTCATTTTCCACTGAAGACTTGATTTTCTATTTCACCTGAGATAGGAGAATTTCCACTGGCTTCCACCATCATGTCTACCTATCTCTCTACACGTGTCCGCATTCCCTCCCGGCCTCTTGTTCCTGTGGATGGACACTCCAACATAACAACAGCCCTTCTTGTGTACTCAGGAAAATAATTCCAAAAAGTATCTCCTCATTTTCCCATATCATCAAATATTCCCTCATTATTAGACTAAATCCATCAGAAGCATGTTATAATCTCTCCCATCTTGAAAAACAAAATCAAAGGTGAAACATTCCTTGAGCTCCCTTGCCTTTTATCCACTGCCCCATCTTTCTGTTCTCCTTTAAAGAAAAGTCCTTGTCTATATGCACTGTCTTCAATTTCTCTCCCTCCCTGTCATCTTTTGAGCATGCCAATTGAAACCACTCTTGTATACATCCCCAGAAATCCCCACTCAGCAAAACCTAATGGTTAAATCCCAAGTCTCATCTTAATAAGCCTAACGGTGACATTTGACACCAGTGATCATTGCCTTTTACTTAAGACACCGTCTTTTTGGCTTTCCATAAAATATTTGTGGTAAATTGTATTTTCCAAAGATGCTGACAGTAACATTTCCCATCTTATAGGTTCTTTTACAATGTGACCTTGGCATTCTTTCCCCTGGGAGGAGGCATCTCCTGTGTTCCATCCTGTGAGTCCAGGCAAGGTTTAGGCTGTGCTGCCCAAGCCTGTGGTCGAAGGGACACTAAATGATGGACAGATCATAGAGGGTCAAGTAGTTATATCCTATCCATTTGAAAAACGGAAGAAAAGAATATGAAGATATGGGCATTTTCCCTAGGGCCTTTCTCTATGGATTGCTTTTGCATATTTATCCTGTCAGACATGAAACTAGTATGACCACTACTCAGATAATGGCTGTTCTATTCTCTCTTCAAATTAATATAAATCGGGTTTTTAAGATGTAGCCAGAATCAAGTGCTTTGTTGCTATGCTGAGTCCACGGACTTATGCTCTAGCTGAGGGCCAAGGCAAATCTGTTTCCAAGAATATACCAAAAACAAGTGGTTGCAGATAAAGCTCCGTTCTCTTATTACTCTCTCTCTTTCTCTTTTCCATCTTCTATTCTCCCATTTTTCCCTGTTTTCCAGTCTTTATGGTCAGTTCTATGCCTCCACCTTGATCTGTATTGCTAACACAGATACATTTTTCTTATTTATCATATCTCTTTCTTCTATGCTTTTTTCTCCTTACTCCCAAATCTTAAATACAGATATATTAATACATCAGAGATATTGTGGGCTCAGATCAAGAAAACTGCAATAAAATGAAAATTGCAATGAAATGAGTCACAAATGTTTGGTTTCCCAGTGCACATAAAAGTTGTGTTTACACTATATTGCAGTCTGTGAAGTGTTACAATAGCATTATATCTAAAAACTCAATGTCCATACCTTAGTTAAAACACTTCATTGCTAAAAAAATTTTAGCAATCATCTGATCCTTCAGCAAGCTGTAATCTTTTAGCTGGGGGAGGGTCTTGCCTTGATGCCAGTGGTGCTGACTGGCCAGGGTGGTGGCAGAAGGCTGAGCTGGCTGTGGCAATTTCCCAAAATAAGACAATAATGAAATTCGCCACATTGATTGATTCTTCCTTTCATGAAAGATTTTTTTTGTAGCATGTGATGCTGTTGGGTAGCATTTATCCACAGTAGAACTTCTTTCAAAGTTGGACTCAATCCCCTCAAACCCTGCTCTGCATTATCAACTAAGTTCAGTAATATCTAAATCCTTTGTTGTCATTTCAACAGTGTTCACAGCATCTTCTCCAGGAATAGATTGTATGTTGAGAAACCACTTTCCTTGCTCATCCATAAGAAGCAACTCTTCATCCATTCAAGTTTTACCACGAATTGCAGCAATTCAGTCACATCTTCGGGCTCCACTTCTAATCCTAGTTCTCTTGCTTTTTCCACCACATCTGCAGTGACTTCCTCCACTGAAGTCCTGCACCCCTCAAAGTCATCCACAAGGGTTGGAATCAACTTCTTCCAGACTCCTGTCCATGTGGATATTTTGGCCTCCTTCCATGCATCATGGATGTTCCAATGGCAGCTAAAATAGTGAATCCTTTCCAGAAGATCTTCATTTTATTTTGCCCAGATCCCCCAGAGGAATGACTAGTTATGGCAGCTATGTCCTTACAAAATGTATTTCATGAATAATAAGACTTGAAAGTTGAAATTACTCCTTGATTCATGGAATACAAAATTGATGCTGTGTTAGCAGGCATGAAAACAGTAATCTTCTTGTACATCTCCATCTTGAATGACCAAGTACATTGTCAAAGAGCAGTAATATTTTGAAAGGACTCTGTTTTTTTTTTTTTTTTTCTGAGCAGTTGCTCTCAACAGTGGGCTTCAAATATTCAATAAACCATACTGTAAAAAGAAGAGCTGTCACCAGGCTTTGTTGTTCTCGTTCTAGAGCACAGGCAGAGTAGATTCAGCATCATTCATAAGGGCCTGAGAAATTTCAGAATGGTCAATGAGCACTGGTTTCAACTTAAATTCCCTAGCTGCGTTAGCCCCTAATAAGAGAGACAGGGGCTTTGAAGCTTTGAAGGCAGGCGTTGACTTCTCCCTTCTAGCAATAAAAGTCCTAGATGGCATCTTTTCCCAATATAATGCTGGTTCATATACATTGAAAATCTGTTGTTTGGTGTAACCACCTTCATCACTTATTTTAGCTATATTTTCTAGGTAATTTGTTACAGCTTTTTCTACATTAGCACTTGCTGCTTCACCTTGCACTATTATGTCATGGAGATGGTTTCTTCCCTTAAACCTCATGAACCAACCTCTACTAACTTCAAACTTTTCTTCGGCAGCTTCCTCACCTCTTTCAGCCTTCACAGAAATGAAGAGAGTTAGGGCCCTCCTGAGGATTAGGCTTTGGCTTAAGGGAGTGTTATGGCTGGTTTGATCTTCTATCCAGATCATTAAAACTTTCTCCCTATCACAGTGAGGCTGTTTCACTTTTTTATCGTATGTGTGGTCACTGGAGTAGAACCTTTAATTTTCTTCAAGAACTTTTCCTTTGCATTTACAACTTGGCTGACTGTTTGGTGCAGGAGGCCTAGCTTTTGATCTCTGTCAGCTTTCCATGTGCCTTCCTCACTGAGCTTAATCATTTCTAGCCTTTGATTTAAAGTGAGAGATGTGCAGCTCTTATACTTGGAGGCCACTGTAGGGGCTATTGACTGGCCTCATTTCACTGGTGTTGTATCTCGGGGAGCAGGGAGGCCTGAGGAGAGGGCGATGTGGAGCTGCGAGTTGTGGGGGCAGGTAAGACACAGCATTGAGGACGTCTGCGGCCGCATGGGTGCATCTGCGCCATCTCAAAACAGTTTCAGTGGTAATATCAAATATCGCCGATCACAGATGGCCATACCAGATGTAATAAGAATGAAGAAGCTTTAAATATTGCAAGAATTGCCAAAATGTGGCATGGAGACACGAAATGAGCACATGCTGTCAGAAAAATGATGACACCAATAGATTTACTCAATGCCAGGTTGCTACAAAGCTTCAATTTGTAAAGAATAAAAAACTTCAAAATATTAATACAATAAAGAAAAGTTCAATAAAATGAGGTGTGCTTGCATTCATCAGTTATCTGCTTGGGCTCAGACCCCTATCAGGTACTTACACCATTTTCCTCACAGGTGCCACTGAGTGCCCGAGGGAGGGCGGACGCAGAGGAGGCGCCGGGTCTCTCCTTCTCGTCCATCCTTTGCTCATCACTGCAGCAGCCCGAGCGGACTCTTCACGCCGTCGCTTCATCCTATTGAAAACGAGAGTCAGAAAAAGTGTCCCTGTGGTAGTATTTAAAAAAGCCATACAAAGCACATTTGGCCCCAAAGATTTGCCAGTATAGAGTCTTAGTGAGGAACAGGTTTTCAGTTAGAAACGATGAGATAATGGAGACAAGAAACTGGCTCCTCCCAGAAAAGACGACGTATAAAGTCTGTTTCACAGGAGTCTGGCATGTGTGCAGCGGGCCCACGCTACTCATGCACCCTCTGCTTGCAAACTTACCTACATTATAAAACCCGTTTGTAACCCCAAGTCAATGCGTGAGGCACTGTTGTGGCCATCTGGGTCTGGGGACAGTCACTGAGCGGCAGACACTCTGAGCACATTGCCAGCTGAGGGCCACGGAGGCCATGTTCCGCCACACGGGACAGGCCGGGCGCAGGGATGCTGTGCCACGCTGGCTGAGGCTTGGAGCACGTTTCCTCCTCCTGCTCCAAAGTCCTCGCCTGTCAAAACGGGGATGTGAGGAGTGGTGCCGTCCCAGGCTGACGAGGAGGTCAAGTGAGTCCATAGCTGCAACCCACTTAGAAGAGTGGCGGGCAATCACAGCTCGTAGAGCGACTTTGAGCACAAAGAATCTTGGGGGTGTGCGCCAGAGACAAGTTGTAGGGGCTCGTGGCCAGGCAGATGCTCTCGCAGTTGGGCCTGCATGAGAGGAACGCGGCTGAAAGGCGCGGCCGGTGGACTGTCGGGGTTAGCTTTGCGTTTCAGGAGGTCGCAGGCGGCAGTGTGGAGGGCGGTGGAGGGCGCGGCCGGCAGCAGGCTCAGTGTGTCTGCCTTTCACACCGGGCCGGGGTGCACCATTGTCTGATGGATGCTGCCCCCTTTGTGCAAACGCCTAAGTGTCCTGAAATGGCCAGTTTAAAGGAATAGCAACCATTTGAATATGTAAATTTAAGCAGAAAGCAAGTCTAGCAAATTGCTGGTGACTCTGTTACATTATGAGTAGACTAAAACATACAAAAAGTTTCCTGCCCTGAGCCATACCGTGCTCCTGCAACGTGCGAGGGCCCCGCGCGGCATGTTCGTGCCGGGATCCACGGAATGCTCGCTGCGAGGACCAAACCAGGCGCTCGTGCCGTCGAGTGACAACTGCATCAGTGACGCACGCTCCTCTGCGAGCTTTGGTCTAGTGTTACGTAGTTTGTGGTCTAAGCCAAGTTAATGATATCTAGAAAGGACAGGCGATGTGGATTTTGTGTGGCCAGTTTCACACACACACACAAACATAATCTGCAAATAAATGATTCGATCATGTACGTCTGTCAAGGCAGACACAGATTTAGGCTGTGGAATAGAGAATACACCCATGCCATTTTCATCCAATCCCCATATGTAAAACATAAGCTGCTCTTTCCAGAGCCTGGCATATCCTATGCCAGGCGGACTTGGTTGGCCGAGTGCTCTCAGGCTCCCCATGCTGGACCACAGCTGGTGGTGTTGGTCTTTCGTTCTTGTAAGCCATTCTAATGGGTGGATTGCAGTGTCTGATTGAGCAGTTAGTCTCGTGCTGTTACTGTTTATAACACTGTTACTTTGTTGTAGAATTTTTTAAACATACAAAAAAGTAGAGAGAATAATAAAATGATCCTGATTTCCCCAACAAATGGCTTCAACAGTTTTCAAAAATTTGCTTTTTTTTTTTTTGTATGTCCCCATCTACAATCCCCTCTCCCCCTTCCCTGCCCTGGCTACTACAGAGCATGTCCCAGACATCAGGAAGATGAGCCTTTAGCTGTGGCAGTCAGCTCATTAGAAATGTGCTGGAGGCTGTGTTTTGTTATATCATTTTCTAGACAATCCAATGCATATTCTTTGAACATTCTGCAATAAAAACAATTTCAGATCTATATGCATTTACAGGGAAGTATAAATCATAGACCTCCAGAGGCTAGGAACCTAATTATTTAAAAAACTAATTTGAGGGTAATTTACTTAAGAAACTAAATTTTTATACTATATCTTTCAGTTCAAAAGTTCACTATAAAATGGAAATTATTATAACTGGAAAATATAATTTTGAATTAGAATCAAAAGTAAAATACATTAAAAATGTTCCAAAACTCACAGCTCCTAGAATCAACAAACCCCTTCTTTCTAAAATACTGGACTACTCAATTGATATTTCATAATCACAGACAATAACTTTATTTCAGCCTTGACTTTGACCTTCTTTACAAGCAAATTCTTATCTAGAGGATAATGAGTAGCAAAATGAAGCCATCAAGTATGGCATATTCTCCTTTGACTTGGAGTCTTTGAGTAGATAGCCACCCGGATTGTTTTTAGGTCCAGTGGTAGGTAGTGTCATTACTACATCATGGCCATGAACATTTTCTACAGAATTGTTTGACTGTGTCCCATTTTGCAGGCTGAGTGATTACCAGATATGAAAGTCCTAATGAATAGTAGGACTTTAATTTCCAACAATGGACAGAGTTCTTCAACAATAATCTTGTCATTACACATCCCATTAAGCTCTAGGCTCCAAACTTGACGTGGTGTAAAAGAATGGTTTACGGGCCTAGCAGGTCTGTATTACACACATACAAAAATTAACACATTTTTCTTTTAGAGTTTCAATGTTATTGTCATTTCAAACTTTAGCATCACCGCAACACTGCTTTTTGTTTGTCTCTAGTGCTATTTTCCCCTTCATTGTGTTTGAATGCATTTCATTGGATGGTTTAAGTAATGGCAGTACTACACTCTTGCAGCAGTAAGTTAAACAGTAAGGGTTTATAAGGAAGACATTACTACTCTCCTCCTCCTCCAGTCACTCCTTTCCTTGAAAAAATCACATGTAGCATTTGCTAAGTAACCTTCCACAGGGATATGACCAACAAACTTGTGAGTATATGTACATATGTGTATGTGTACATGTACAGTCAGACAAATACATGCATATTTGTTTCTTCTATTTCTATATTAAGATCATAAAGTGCATGTTACTCTGCAACTCTATGTAAAGGTTTCTCCCAGCTGATTTGCTTGACGGTTAGAAATCGCCTCTAAAGCAGCTCCACATCGAGCCAGATAGGACTTGCATTGTCATATCATTTTACTGTGAAAATCACAATCTGTACTTATCTTACCTGAATGAAACATTAAGAACCATTATGATAATAATACTCATTTAAAATAGAGTTACTATAATTCTGAAAGCTGTAATTATTGATTACTGGTGAGTAAGTTTTCGTATCATTCAGTATCACAATACAGAGGATCGAATGACCTCCCAGATTTGGGGTTATTCTTCACTATTCCTATAGACTGGATTCATGTGAAAGGTGACCCTCACTTCCCAACTGGACGCTGTGACCACAGTACACTGCATACTGTGCAAAAGTTAGTTAATTCATTGTGGAGAATCAGGTTAAATCTGTGAATAAGACATGGATGGTATTGTATAGACAGATGATGTTCTCAATGGAAATCGGATCATATTTAGGAAAGCAGCACTATAGGAGACTATATATAGGATTGATTTTTATGAAAACAGAAAAGAATCCATCAAGTTATTTAGTGCTGTAAGATTAAGACTGGGAATTTGTCTTACAGAATCCTTTAAAATGCATTATTTCACTCACTCATCAAATATGTGTTTCACGTCTAGCATGTGCCACCCTGAGATGCACAGGTGACCTCAGGTAGCCCCGGGTCGGTGGGGTGGCGGGCGCAGGCACGGAGGAGCCGGGCGTGTGCACGGCCCGCCCCGCCGGCCGGGCCTGTGTCAGCCGGACAGAGTCAGGACACCCTCGGCGGTGACGCCGAGCGGGGAGGCGAGCAGGAGCTGACTGGGTGAAGAAAAGCCAGGGAAAGATCCTGCGACCAAAGGCTCAGGGGACAGAAACGCGGCGCGCGCACGTGGTCTGCAGAGCGGGGAGCGGAGCAGACCGCGAAGGCGCACGGAGCCCCGCGTGCAAGTGCAGGTGTCCCGGGCCCTTTCTGACCCCGGGCGTGCCAGCGAGCTTGAGAAGAGCGGGAGGGCAGGGGTCAGGTCGGGCGGCCCCCTGCACCAGTCCCCGGAGGTTTCACTGTACCTGGAGGGTCTTTCCTGGGCGCCCCGGTGACGTCCTGGTGGGCTAGGCCGAGGGTCAGGCACTGGCTCCCGAGATGGCCTGCGGGGCGGCCGCTGCTCTGGGGGTGCGGGTCCCCCTGGGGCCGGAGGGGCCGCTGCGCACCACCGGGCCAGCTGCGCGCCCCGGTCTCCACGCTCGGGGTGCTTTGTAGAAGAGAACAAATATTTTTGCTATCCATCCACAGAATTATAATATTTGATATTGTTTGTCCAAATTAAACATGCAAGCCAGGAGGGAGGGGCTCCTGGGCCTGTGCCCCATCTGGGGTGGCTGGGAGTCTGGACCCCGCGCCTGCAGGAGGGCCGGCTCGGCCTCTTCCCATCCGCCTCGCTCTGCGCTGTGAGCGACAGCGTCGTGCACAGTTTCCTTTCTGTAAAACGGAAGTAAGGATTGACATGAGAATTAGACCGGTTATTTCATTAAAGGCCTTTGAAGGTGTTTGGCAATCAGCAAGTGTGTTATTTCGTTGTTGTGATGGAGACGGTGGTACACATCTGTTGAATAGAGGAGTAAGTGAGTAAGCGAATGTTGCCAAAGACACAGTTTACTTTATGGTCCATACTGCAAGCACCAGCACCATCGTAGATACATAGCACAGAGACACACATGCCACATGCAGAGGCCACATGCTCACTACACACATGTGCATACCACACACACCTTGTGCACAGGGCACACACACAGCACACACACCACACATACACATGCACAGCACGAATATGACAGGCACAAGCACAAATCACACACTATACACACCGTCCACCTCCACGCACCACACCACACACATAGCACTTAGGACACACACAGCCCCCTTATACCGTGTCCTGCTAGGAGCGGTTCAGTCCCTTACACTGGTGGGCAGAGCACGCCCTGGTTCTGAGCGCTGTCCCGTGCGCTCCGGCCGCTTCTCGGTGAGTCCATGCCGGGGGCAGCAAACACTATCTACTCACTAGGAAAGGTGCCTGGAACAAGACCATATACAGTTCTCATGCCAGGACAATTTGAAGGGCTCTTGGGATCGTATGGATGGTGTTTGGTTTTGTAAATGTGGAGTGTGTGCATTTGGGGTGGGGTGGGGTGATTGGATCTACTGAGCCCTCCCTGGGTACACTGTCTGCCAGAACATGGGTGTTTGGCTTGTCACCTCAGAAGAGTGTAGCTTCCAAGGGTGCTAGGGAAGGGTGACCAGCACTGCACTGGGAAGGCTGGGAGGGACCCTAGGGATCTCTTCCCTAGGAGGCAGGTGACTAAATCACTTCTATATTTGCTGATGTAAAATGTAGGGCCGAGGAATAAGCAATTTACTTTATGCACACAGATTACCACAGGACGGGTATGGCCAGGCTCTTGCTGCACTGGGACTCCGGGCCCAGCAGGAAAGAGAGCTTGGCTGTCAGGTTTGGCATGGTGCTGGGTCCCGGCTCCCAAATCCTCCTAAGGTATGCTTCCACACAGCTCAAACCCTGGGTCACACACCACATTCCTAATCATTTCAAGGTCGTTTGCTTTCAGAGAATTTTAAAGAGCCGCTGTTGGATCATCGGGGCAATTTGATTAAAATGCCCACACTGGACTCAGCAGGGTGCTTCACTCTCTCAAGGGCAGCTCTGGAAAGTCAGCACAAGAGGAGCTGCCCGGAGACAACGCATCCGTTGTGAGCAGGCCTCCCTCGGGCCCTCGGCTGCAGGGCCGGACAGAGCAGCCCTCTCACGGGGCGGTAATTGCATTGGTTCCACTTGCTGGTCACAGTGGCACATGCTGGCCAATGAGTCTGCACTCGGCAGGCCTTGGGGGTTAAGAGCTCCTGTTCTAAAGCTCTGTAGGTGACTCTTGGTGGCTAATGGCATGGCAATCTCGGAGACTCTGGTGGTGCCACCACGCCTGGATTTCTGCCCCATCTGCTGCTAAGCTCCTTTGGGAAAGGAAGGCTGCCTCCCTGGCTGTGAGAAGTCCCAGCTGCTAAGAAAAAGCAAGATGAGGCCTGCAGGGTATAGAGCACAGATTCAAACTCCTCTGCGAAGTGAAGGCCGGGAAGTCTCTGAGGCTTGGAAGTTATGATCTGAGAAATTCTTGTGCAGAGATGTATCATGTCAAGAGTCACTTCATGTTTGTAAATGTATTGACCTTTTAGAATTCTATCACCTTTTTTTTCCTTTTGACCAAGGAAGAGATCTTAAGCTACTTATTCCCTGAGCTGTATAATTCAAAATTAAATGAAAAAGTATAAGAATAGGTTTGCTATCTTTTGGTATCTGTGTGCAACGGTAGAGCATTACTAAAAATTAATCTTTCAAGTATTTATATCGACCAAAAGGCACATTATAAAGAATAAAGGCAGCGATGAGGTGGATAATTCTTCCTATTAGGTAAATGGTGTGGGAAATTTAGGGTGGAAATAGGATGGACGTG